ACTGTTCTGAAGGGCACAGTGGATTCATCGGCTTTTGTTCTGCATTGACTGAACTTCTTCTTGTGTGGCACATTTTTTTGGTAAATGAGGACTACCAGTGGGCTCCTTCTTTGCGCATTCTTACTGGCGTTTCTACCTTACTGCCTGGCGAACATCAAGAAATTGATCTCCGATGACTTTTCTGAGACTCCCGAAATTGCGTCCTTTTCCGCCGTCCGCCTCCGACTTGGCCAACCGAAAAAACCAAACCTCCGATCAACCGTGCGAATGCGTTCGGACTTTACTGATACTTTTGGCTTAAGGAAGGCCTTGGTGGTGATATTTGAAAAAATAAGCGTCCCCTCGTACGGCGACTTCTGCCCGAACGTCATTTTGAGCTTGGGAAAGGATACTGATCCACCTGAGTCCTTCCTTGATATAGACGGAGGTTACCTGCCGGATGACCTTGAAAAGGAGTGGTACAAGGAGGATGCTAACCAGGTTACGCTGTAAATCCAGGACCTATCGCCCGCTATGAAGACGCAGAAAGACTCACTGCAACTCCCTCTTCTTAATGCCTTGCTGCACCAGAAGGTGCTTCCTGCCCATATGGAACTCAAAACTGTCGCACTCTGCTTGGTGACCTTAAAAAACTGGTCTGTCTACATCCTAGCCTTAATGATCCTGCCTTGAAAGGGCAATGCATGCTAGTGTCCAAGGAGTCCACTCCGCAGTGCGCCGATTCTACCTTCTCCTTCACCTCCAAGGTAAACGTCATTCAACTCAGCCTCTACGGTGTCCTCCCTGCGGCGCTTTTGTGTGTCGTCATCCTCGTGATTGTGTTGCTTTGCTGGTATTGTCGTAAAATCCGCCACCGCTCTTCACTCAAAGCTACCAAGCATGCGGTCGATCCGGAGCGTGAAAAACCTAATGGTGAACAAACTCAATCTTCGCCATCTAAAGGGAACTGGGGGCTTACTTCCAGCTCCAAGATCTCGCCGGGGCAATCCAACGTCGGACCAGCAGCAACATCAACAGTAACTGCATCTGAAGATTTCCCATTGTTGAAGGAACCACCGCAAAGTATAACCTTGGTTCAGATGTCATCCAGAGGAGACGCGTCCGTACGCAACAAACCTCCACCGGGGTCGCCTCTGAGATCTGGCGGAGATCTTCACAGAATGCTTTATGGAGTCGATTCCACAATTTCTCATTCAGTCCTTTAGTCTTTTGACCTCCTCAGTTGATGGCGTGGATTTCGCCCCCC